ATAAGCAAAAAGAAAAAAGCCGAAAGTGGCGCTGTGGCTAAAGTGGTAGAGTGCTAGCCTGGGGCTGAAGAGCTGAGGGACAGCGCCCAGGCCCAGAGTTCAGGCCCCACGACCAGACCCCACCCCCCCCAAAAAAAAAAGAAAAGAAAATGATCATACTAACTACCAAAGCAATCTGTATAGTCAATGAAATACTAGTCAAAGTCCAATGTTGTTCTTCATAGAAATAGATCAATGCAGTAATTCATATGGAAGCACAAAAGCTCCTTAATAGCAAATGTAATTTTAAGCAAAAAGCAATGCTGGAGGTGTCATAATACTGGAATTCAAATTATGTACAGAACCGTAGTACAAAAACAGTGTGGTACTGGCACAAAAAACAGATGTAAAGACCAATGGAACAGAAGATTCATAAATAAAGCCATACAGCTAGAGCCATCTAATTTTTGATTAAAGAACCAAAAACATAGAATAAGATAGTCTCTTTAATAAATTGTGCTGAGGGGCTGGGAAAGTGGCTCAGAGGTAGTGTGCTTGCCTTGCATGCATGAGGGCCTGGGTTTGATTCCTCAGCACCACATAAACAGAAAAGGCTGGAAATGGCACTGTAGCTCAAGTGGTAGAGTGCTAGCCTTGAGTTGAAGAGCCCAGGGACAGCGCCCAGGCCCAGAGTTCAAGTCCCATGACTGACCGAAAAATAAAAAATAATTAAAAATAAATTGTGCTGAGAAAACTGAGAGTCTATATGTAGGAGACTGAAAAGACCCCCTATTTCTCACCCTATATACAAATTCAATTACAAATGGATTGAAAATAAAAATTTAAGGTCTGGCCCGGTTTTGGTGGCTCATGCCTGTAATCCTAGCTTCTCAGGTGGTTGAGATCTGAGGATCGCAGTTCAAAGCAAGCCCGGGCACGAAACAAACACTCAGAAAAACCATAAGTGGTGCTGTGGCTCAAGTGGTAGAGTGCTAGCCTTGAGCTGAAGAACTGAGGGACAGTGCCCAGGCCAAGGGTTCAAGCCCTATGACCAACCAAAAAAAAAAAAAAGCCCAGGCAGGAATGTCTGAGACTCTTATCTCCTTTTATCTCCAATTAACCACTAGAAGTTGTAGAGTACTTGCCTTGAGCTGAAGGATGCAGGGAAAGTGCGCAGGCCCAGAGGTCAAGCCCCACAACCAACAACAACAAAAATTTAAAGTCTGAAACTACTATAGGAAAACTTACGGGAAATTCTGTGTAAGATATAGGCACAAGTAATTATTTTCTGAATAGCATTCCAATTGCCATGCAAATAAGGGCAAGAATTGTCAGATGGAACTTCATCAAAAGTTTCTGCACAGCAAAAGAAACTGTTACCTACAGAGATAACCCACAGAATGGGAGAAAATCTTTGCCAGCTATCCAGTGGACAAAGAAAGTATTAATGTCCAAAATATACAAAGATTTCAAACACTACATAGCAAAAATAGCCCAATCAATAGGCAAATTGGACAGTTCTCAGAAGAAGAAACACAACTGGCTAATAGATACATGAAGAAATGTTCAACTTCCTTGAAAATTTTTTAAACTACATTAAAACTCTATCTCACCCCAGTCAGAATGGGAATCGTCAAGAACACAAACAAAATATGCTGACAAGAATAGGAAAAGGTGGGGAGGGGCTCTCATAAACCTTTGGTGAGCACCACTACAGAAATCAGTATGGAGTTTCTTCCAGCCTTGAAGAAATTGAAGAAGATATAAAAGATAGAAAGATCTAAAAATGGATCTACCATATGACCTTGTAATACCATTCTTGGACATGTATCTTTTTGTTTTTGTTTTTAGTCAGTTCTAGGGCTTAAACTGTGGGCCTGGGCACTGCCCCTGAGCTCTTCAGCTCAAGGCTAGCACTCTACCACTTGAGTCACAGTGCCACTTCCAGCTTTTTTTGTGTATGTGGAATTGAACCCAGGGCTTTATGCATGATAGGCAAGTACTCTACCACTAGGCCACATTCCTAGCTCTTGGGCATGTATCTGAAGAACAGTAAAGGAATATACAAGAGAGATACTTACTGTGTACATGTGCAGCACTATTCATTATCACTCAATGGTGTAATCAGCTAAGGTGCCCAATGATAGATAAATGGATAAAGAAAATACATGCATATATAACATGGAATATTATATAACATCATGAAAAATGAGATAATATATGCAAATAAAGTCATAATTAAAAGGCGGGGAACTAAGCACTAGTGGTTCACACCTAGCTACTCAGGAAGCTGAGATCTGAAGATCACAGTTCAAAGCCAGCCTAAGTAGGAATGTCCCTGAAACTATCTCTAACCAGCAAAAAGCTGGAAGTGGAGCTGTGGTTCAAGTGGAAGAGTGCTAGCCTTGAGGAAAAAAGCTCAGGGACAGTGACCAGGCCCTGAGTGAGTTCAAACCCTAGGACTGGTACACACACAAACAAAAAAGCAAGAAAAGTTTGAATAATTTTTCATTATGTATACATATTTCTTTGAGAAAATTATGAAGAAAAGGATTTAAAGTGAAAATTTATGTAAAGCATGTACAGGTGCACACAGTATGGTTTTGCCTTTTTTTTCTTTTTTTCTGAGCTGGCTTCAAACCAGCCTCCTGAGAGTCTGGGAAGGTAGCTCAATGGTAGAGTTCTTGCCTTGCATGCATAAGGCCCTGGGTTTGATTCCTCAGCACCACACAAGCAGAAAAAGCCAGAAGTGGCATGACTCAAGCAGTAGAGTGCTAGCCTTGAGCTGAAGAGCTGAGGGATAGAGCCCAGGCCCACAGTTCAGGCCCCATGAGTAACAAAAAAAAAAAAAAAAAAAAAGAAAACGAAGAAGCCTCCTGAGTAGCAAGTGTTACAGGTGTAAGACACTGGCATCTCACTGCTTTAGTTATTTTTTAAATAGAATTTCATTATGGGGGGTGGGGGCAGGGCTAGCCTCGGCCTCAATCTTTCTATGTATGCTTCTTCTTGAACAGCTGGAATGACAGATAGATATATACCACTATACCCAGCTGTTGGTTGAGATGAGGGTCTTGGTAACTGTTTGCCCAGGCTGACTTTGAACCATGATCCTCCTGATCTCTGCCTCCTGAAAGGCCCCAAACCTTCAATGGCTTTCTTGGTTTCTCACATGTGGCAAGCTTATTTCTGCTTTGAGCTTTTGAACTTGGCTGTACTCTGCTTGAATGCCCTTTCCCTAGATCTAATATGGTTGCTTCTACATTATGGGATCAAGAGGAAAGATTTTTTTGGTCACCTAGAATTTTCTTTCTCTTGCCTCACCATTTTTTTGGGGGGGTGGGGGGGTGATAGAGGATGGGTCGTGGGGCCTGAACTCTGGTCCTGGGCACTGGCTCTCAGCTCTAGAGCTCAAGGCTAGAGTTCTACCACTTGAGCCACAGCATCACTTCCAGTTTTTTCTGCTTATGTGTGCTGAGGAATAGAACCCATGGCCTCATGCTTGCAAGACAAGCACTCTGCCACTGAGCCACCTTCCCAGCCCATGGCTCATCATTTTATGTTGAGAGCATTTATCAATCAGAAGTTATACAAGCCTGTGCTGTAAGACATTCTTCTTCTTTTGTTTTTTTGGTGGTCGTGGGGCTTGAACTCTGGACTTGGGCGTCCCTGCACTCTTCAGCTCAAGGCCAGCGCTCTACCACTTGAGCCACAGCGCCACTTCCGGTTTTCCAGTGGTTTATGGGAGATAAGAGTCTCATGCACTTTTGTGGCCGGGCTGGCTTTGAACCGCGATCCTCAGATCTCAGCCTCCTAAGTAGCTAGGCGTAGTGAGCGGGAGCCACCGGCACCAGGCTTATAAAACATTCTTAAGGGCAACCTTCCTTGGCTTGCTAGTGCTATTTCCTGTCCTATGATTTTGCATGAAGTAGGTACTCAGAGTTTATTGATTAAAAGCCAAGGGGTGAGATCTGTTAGGAACTGAGTCTTCCGGCTTGAGATACTGTCTCGATCATGACTACATATGCTCATTCTTCACACACTCCATTCATTTTGTTTGAGACAATCTATGTATCCCAGACTAGCTTCACACTCGTGCTCCCCCACCCCGCGGCTCCTGCTCCCGTGAGCTTTCACACGCAGCCCTAGGTCCACTTATTGTACCATTACTTTGCAGCTAGGGGACGAAATTATTAAAAAAAAAAAAAAAAAGTATTTCAGAACTTAATGTCTTCCCTCCAAGAGCTCAGTTCTGTAACCTCAGTGACAGGAGTTGCGCTTCCCAACAGAACCCAAAGGGTCACGTCGATGCTGCCTTCCTCCAGTGGTCCATGATCAGGTCTAGAGATCCATCTCCTCGTCCAGGCCATCTCTAGGGACCAAGGCAGCCCCCTCCCCCATGTCTCCCCCACCCGCCCCGTCTCCATCCCACCCCTCCCTGGCTGCTCTCTTGGGTCCAGGGTCAGGGCCTTGAAGGGCCGGGAAACCAGGCCATCTGGGGAGATCTGCTCTTCCATCTCTGGGGCCCCGGAACGGCTGCGGCTTCTAAGAGCGCGCCGCCACCCCCGCGGGCCGGCCCAGCCGAGAGGCCCGGCCATCTGCCGGGAGGCCAGAGCGGCTCCGCGCCGGGGGCGGGGCCGGGGCGGGGCGGCGTCGGGCCGGGGGCGGGGCGGCGCCGGGGTCGGGGGTGGGGAGCAGGCCCGGCGGCATCCCAGCGCCGGGAGCGCCGCGGCCACCGGAAGAGTCGCGGTCGCCAGCCTAGCCGAGGGAGAGGGGAGCGGAAGCGGCGGCGGCAGGCGGCGCTGGGACCCGGGAGCGGCCGGAGAACAAGGGAGCTGGCGCCGCGGCCGGCCGCTGAGCGGGACTGAGCTGCTGGGCCGCACCGAGCGCCGGCGCCGCCGCCGCCACCCGAGAGGCCCGGCCGGGCCGGCAGAGCAGGCCGCGCGCGGGCCGCTGGGCCGGAGGCCGGAGCCATGGGGGAGACCAAGATCATCTACCACCTGGACGGGCAGGAGACGCCGTACCTGGTGAAGCTGCCCCTGCCCGCCGAGCGCGTCACCTTGGCCGACTTTAAGGGCGTCCTGCAGCGACCCAGCTATAAGTTCTTCTTCAAGTCTATGGACGACGATTTCGGGTGAGGATGGCCCCCGCCCCGCCCCGCCTCCGGGGAGCCCGACCCCTCCTCTTCGAGGGGCGACGCGACCAGCTTGGACTTCCTCGCGTCTGGCCTTTGCCCTGCTTGCTGCTGGGCGGGGGGCGGGGGGGGGCTATTCGGCCCATTTGGGCCTCCGTTGGCTTTCGGTAGAGCTGGAGTCCCAGCCCCTCTGGAGACTCGGGGGGTGGGGGGTGGGGTCTTGTCTCCTCTAGTATGGGGACGTCTGGCTTCTCCAGAGCAATCGGAGTGCCTGCCAGTCAAGCCCCCTGTACCTCCCCGAGAGACTAGTGGCCCACAAAGACACTCGTCCTACCAATTCCAATGCCAGCGTCCCCAGCCCCTAGCATAGATCCTGGGGTGTTTGGCACCCGGCCTCCCTTCTCCAGCTATTCAGCTCGGCAACACAGAGCCATATTTGGAGTATCCCTCATCTAAGGCTATGCTGTGGGACTTTGAACTCGGGGCGGGGGGTGGGGGGGAGAGTGTGGGAGGGGGTGTTCCACGCCAGGCTGTGCAGTCCTGATGTTTGTTGCGCTGTTTCCACTCTTCCCTGTGGGCCAAGTGGGACGTTGTCAAGGGAGCCAATTTTGCCTCACCCTGAGGAGGAGCCCTCACTAACCCAGGTGCTGATGTCCCCTCGGAATTGGGGGTCGTTTTCCTACGGACGTTGGTGAGAAGCTGACGTTGGGAAAGGCCTCAGAACCTAAGGGGAGGGCTGAGAAGAGTCTCTTGGTATTCATCCACCCCTCTCTAGCAAGTCTCCTATAACCCAGCTGAAGGGCCATGGACAGAGTTTGAAGGCTGAGACTGGCCCTTTAAGAGGGGTTGGAATGTTGGAGCCGGAAGGTTCTGTAGCAGCTGGCCTAGGAGGGAGCCTGATACACACACACACACACACACACACACACACACCACACACACACACACACACACACACACACACACACCCCAGGGGACTAGGAGGGAGCCTGATACACACACACACACACACACACACACACACACACACACCCCAGGGGACTTGGGGAGGAGGCCCCCACACTGCCCTACAGTATCTGGGCGCTGGGCCTGAAAGCCAAGGAAGGCCTCATTGGGCCCTCCAGGCCTAAAGGCCTTCTTCAGCCGTAGCTGCAGGCCTGTACTGCTTTTTTCAGCTAAAGCCCTTGAACTGAGTGAGGAGAGACCTTCTTCTCCCCAGTGTTCATCATTCTGGCTCCTGTCCCAAGACTTGGCCCTCCTAGCATTGTGGAGAGAGACAGAGGTTAAGTGCTTTTTATCCCATAGGCAGTACTGTTTTGTTGTTTCTACCCTGCAGTGAGGAGGACTCAGTATGGTAGTGATTGTCTGACTTCAGTCTGGAGGCAGATGTACTTGAGTAGAAGAGTCTGAAGAGGGATGAGTGCCTCAGCCTGGCTTGAGAAGAACAGGCTTGGAAGGGATGGATACTGCAAGATATGGAATGGGGAGAAAGCAGCCCAGCATTCAGTGTGCTGGGGCCAGATGTCTTGAAGACTAGAATAGGCTATGTCTCCATTCCCTCCCCCAGCCCCTACCTCCCAAGAGTGGCTGCCACCCACTCTCCCAAGGCTGCTGTGGAGTCAGGCCTAACTACCGTTGTAAGAGGGCCCGTTATATCTGCTCACTGTTGACCTAATTTTTTTTCTTAACCCTGATAATAGATTTCTACTGCCAGTCTACTCATTTTTTTTTCCCACCTTAGCTTGACTGAACTAATGAAATCAGCTATGTGTCTGATCTTCTGTTTCTTCCTAAAATACATCACAAATATTAAACTAAGCAACATTTATCATGTGCCACTTAAAGCCATCTTGCATATGACAATGGTAATTGAAGCACCTTTTGTAAAATATTATTTTTGGTTGAGTGTTTTTATCCCCAGAAGGACAGATAAAGAGACTTGGTAGACCTAACTTATCACAGAGGAGTAGATACATAGTGTATTTCACTTGTTTTACAACCCTCTTTTATGATGATTACACTCTTCCAGTGATCTAGATCTTTTGCACACCTTGACTCACCAAATCCTCCTAATCACTCTGGGAAATATATGATAATATCTCACTTTGCAGATGAGGCATCTAGAAAGCAGAAATCTTAAGTAACTTACTAGTAGTCACATAGCTAGTAAGTCAACATCATGAGTATGGTTCCAAAATCTAAAGCCTTAATCACATAGTTGTAGATTATGTGTATGTGTGTGTGTGTGTGTGTGAGAGAGAGAGAGAGAGTCAGAGACAGAGAGAGACAGGGAGAGAGAGATTTGTATAGGGAGGAGTATATGTACATCACCATTTTTCCAGATGCTCATGTACAGGAAGATAGTAAACCTTGGTAAACTAATAGGGCTGCCACTGGCAGAGCCCCGGCCAGGGACCCCTGCTGACTGGAAGGAAAGAGTATCAGAGAAGAAAGGCTGCTGGCCTACCAGTCTTTCCACTCCAGGCTCGCCTTCTGAGGATTTTCCAACTCCCATCCCATAAGCTTGGGATAGGCTCAGCCCCACATTTTCAGAAAGACCATTGGTGGAACAAGATAGTGGCTGCTACACTAGGTTTAAGATGTATGATGAACACCATGGCAAGTTAGGTCACTGTGTTGCTCCTTCACGGCACGCATTGTCCTACCTCTGGGCCATCTGCCTGAGTGTTCAATATTACTTCCTGCAGGTCCAAATTCTCCCATCCTTAGGGTCAAGCTTTTCCATGACAGCCTTCCTCATAGGCACTTTATTCTCTATCTTGATCATTCTTAGTCAGGCCCTAGTGTCTAAGTAACAGCCACTGAACACATCTGCTGCTCTAATCTTGCCACTTGTAATATACCTCCATGGACTATTAGGCTCTCTGAGTACAAGGCAATCTCCAGGCTGGACATGTCATGAAAACTCCATGCCATGGTAGGATCTAAAACTCCCAGGATTCTCTGCAGAAGCTTTTTAACTGAATGAATGATGATTAATCAGCAGAAGATATGTTTGATTCCTGCTTTTAGAAACTTACTAGTTTCTAACTTCCTGGTTAGTATGTGGATCCCACTGGAAGCTGATACTAACTAGTGTGTGTTATATGTCTAGACCATGTTAGACATTTAAGAATCCCATTTAGTGCTCTCTTCGGCAGCACATATACTAAAATTGGAACAATACAGAGATGATTAGCATGGCCCCCATGCAAGGGGCAAATTCGTGAGGCATTCCATATATATATATATATTTTTTTTTTTTTTGCCAGTCATGGGGCCTGAACTCTGGGCCTGGGCGCTGTCCCTCAGCTCTTCAGTTCAAGGCTAGTGCTCTACCACTGGAGCCACAGCGCCACTAACAGCTTTTTCTGTTTATGTGGTGCTAAGGAATCGAACCCAGGGCCTCATGCATGCAAGGCAAGCACTCTACCACTGAGCCACCTTCCCAGCCCGTCCATATTTTTATAAAGCTATGTTGGAATATTGTAATTAGCCCTCAGGAAAACTACAAAAAAAAAAAAAACTAGAATCCCATTTACCATGATGAGACAAAGACTTAGAAAAGCTAAGATTTTTCTCTAGGATAGGAGAGCTAATACGTGGAAGAATTAGAATTTGAAGTTTTGTTTGTCTGACTCCACTTGGAATAAGAGAAAGAGTGAATGCTATGGAACCCTAAGCCATTGAACTCTACAATAGAAGGGTATAGCCTGCCTGAGGTCCCCCAAGGCTGCTGAAGATCAGCTGATCATTGTGAGTTGGCAGAGCCTTGGTGACCTGTCAGTGATCCCCAGAAAGAGAGGAAACATCTGTAGTGTGAGGCAGTGTGGTGAGGCCTGCTAAGGAGATGGAGGGCGGAGGTTACTGAGCAGCAGTTTCTTACCACGGCGAGACTCTCAAAGCAGGACATAGAGCCCACTGCCATGTGTCCCCTTTTCTTAGAGCCCAGACTCCCAGACAGGTGTGACCTTGGGATACTAGACCAGCTGGTAGGTCTGAGTCACCTCTTGTCCTTCTTTCTACCCTTGCCCTGCAGTGATCTACCATTACGAGCCTGAGAAGATGAGTTAGGCTGTTTTCTTAGGATCACTGTGGGATTGGAAATGGTGGGAAGCCAGAGCTGGATGGGAGGGAAGAGGTCTGGCTTGGCCTGAGAACTTGGCTGTGAGTCCAAGAATGTGAGCATCACAAGGAGCCAAACACATTCCCACCTCAGTAGAAGCTGCTGGAAGAATGAGGGAGCACTAGGCTTCCCAGCCTTCTCCTACTGCCTTCCCTCTGTTCTGAACTCTATGCATGGGTCAACCTCTTACCCAACTTTGTACCCCTGGGGTGTTTGACAAGTCTGACAATCCTCAAACTTTTCCATTCTTTTCCCTGGGCCCAAACACTAGTCAGTATCTGACTTCTTAACTCACTAATTCCCCTGACCAAACTGCATACCATGACCACAGTCCCACAGCCTGCGTGCCCTAAATCACTGTGCTGTTATACCACCACCACCCACCACCCACCCTCTTCACAGACCCACGTTACCTCTGCCTCGTACAGGAAAGAATGTGACATACAGTGGAGACAATATGAGAGTCAGATGAGCCTGGGGTAAATTCTAGCTCTGACATCTACTAGCTTTATGACCTTGGACAAGTTACTGCTGTCAGTTTCCTTATTCATGAAATAAGGATCATCTTGTTTACCTAGTAAGGCTGCTGAGAAGATACATTCTAACTATAAAGGACTTAAGATGGTATAATAGGTAAGAATACAAACTGACCAGTATTCAAATGCCAACTCTACTCACTAATAGTATGAGTTTGGTTGAATTATTGAATCTTTTGAACCTAGTTTTCCCGGCCCGTAATGGACGCTCAATAAATGAAAGCAACATTCACTGGTGTGTGTGTGTGTGTGTGTGTGTGTGTGTGTGTGTGTGTGTGTGTGTGTGTGTGTGTGTGTGTGTGTGTGTGTGT